CTGGGAGGGGAATATGGACAATTTATTGGAGAAAAATCAGAGTTTTTAAACTTATACTTAACAAAATACACGACAAAGTCGGAGAAATGCAATATAGGCTTTGCAATGATAGATTGCAATAAGCCCTTGGCATCGAAATTGTGGAATTTGCGTTCATTGAATAACAGAGAATGTGGTGCTTTAGAAACTGCGGACACACTAAGGAATTCCTTCTATGGTACGGACAGTGATACCATTGTCAAATGGATTGACCTAAGGAATTAGAATCATTGAATTTGTACGATTTTGACAGATTCTGAGAAATTACGAAACAGATACCAAAAAATGACAAAGTCGAATGTTATAAACTTGTATCGGATTTATGTTTAAAAAAACGAAAAAAGTGTTATTTAATTCACCATTATCGATTTAATGTAAAAACTGAACCCAAAAAATACTTTTACTCGCTGCTTCTTCTGTTTAAACCGTGGAAAGATTTGAATGAACTCAAAGGTGCATACGAGACTTACATGGATACCTTTAAAAATTCAGCGTCTGCTTTGATGAAGGTAATGAAATATCACGAAAGGATAAAAAAAATACAGAAAGCTTTTGAGAACGTTGCTGAATTAATCGAGAAGCGCGAAAATGATCTGAAAACAGCAGACAGAGACAAATCCGATGACGATGGACTGGATTGCAATCCGATAGAAGCTGACGACGCGATGAAAGATCTGGAAAATTTTGATAAGATTGACGCACTGATTGATTTATTGCAATCGCGATTGAAAGAAGACCAGAAAAGAATCTTCGATAGAGTATACCAAGTTTTACAAAATAAAAATCAGATTCTGCGACTGTACGTAAGTGGCGAGGGTGGTACATAGAAAAGTTTTCTTATTGAAACGATTAAACATTGAATCAGAATACATTTGAAAAAAGCGACTGCCATATCTGCTCTCACGGATATCGCGGCATTCAATATCGATGACTTGACGATCCATAGAATGTTTCAGCAACCCGTGACCCATGAATCTACGGCAAAGTATACGCACTTGTCAGACATGGTTTTGAAAACTTTAAGAGACAAATTAAAGACTGTCGAATTATTTATAATCGATGAAGTATCCATGATTTCGAATGTGACACTTATGTTTATCAATCTACGATTATATGAAATCTTTGATACGACAGATACAGATGATGGTTTCTTTGGCAGAAAACACATTCTTCTGTTTGCAGACCTGTTGCAGCTTCCCCCTGTTATTAGTTATATATCAAAAAATTTTTTAAACCAGATGTAGTACGCTTTAGTTTACTGGAAAATATGGTATATATGTATGTTGTTGAAACATGATTTTTTTCTAAAGTGAAATGTATGTATTTAATTCGTGTAATTATTATATTATCGAGACATAATATTTATTCATTGACAAAGATCGTAATTTTTCGCTTTACTATGAAATGCGAGGACATTGCGCGATAGCAGCGACGGCGCGGCGAAGCGCTCACGCACACTACTAGACGCGCGGCTCACGGATGTGTGTCCGTTTTAAGCACGGCGTCGATTGGATTATCTTTACTCGATGATTGCTTCAATAAGCACTGTACAAAAAAAATTTCCTAATACCTATCGACTCAATTTTTTATCAGGAATAGCGCTATATGGTTAGTGGGCGGTATTTAAGAAACACCCTGTATACCCTATATTTAAGTTTTTTCTAACTGTATTGCATAAATTGTAGCTTATAGAAAGTTACCTGATAAGAATCGAAAATATATTCATTTGTGATACTTGCATTAGGAAGCTGCCCCGTGTATCTGTATTCTGAAAAGTAGGTGATATCGCTAAAAAATCATAAAAATGAAAAGGTCAGGCCATGTTCAAAAAAAGATCCTCAAAAATTTAAACCTTTAAAAATTTAAATGGTACTTTAACCCTTTTGGTTTTGACCAATTCTGGAAAAAAAGTTTATAGTTTAAAGGGTCACTGCTCACGAGTCTGGACTCAGATTTCCAAAATTCAAGATAGCTGATTGAATATGGCAGACGTCGATCCAGAAAATTAAAAATTTGAAAATAAAAAAAATATTGCCTTACTCTGCGTACAATTTCAAATATAAAAGGTGATTTTTTTTAGTTATTTGCGTAGTTTCCGAGTAAAAAATTCTCGAAGATTGCTAATGAATCGACATCATCGCTTTATTTGATTTTCTGTATGCAGTAAAAACTTAAATCTGCTGTATCTCGGTGAAAAAAAATCCTACTTGGACGTTTCTCAAAATGGAAATTAAAGGGCAAGATTCATACTTTACAGTACTTTGTTTAGTTTTTGTTGGTAAAATTCTCTACAACCAGGAAGAAACTCCAATAATGCCCTAAAACAGTCATTTTTGCATATTTAGGTTATCTCAAAATTCTGACGTGATGGCGCCATTCTGAGGCCAGATTTGGATTCAGCGCATCAAATTCCTTCGGAAATCAATATAAAGTTTCATGTGATATTAAATACTCTTTAATTTGTTGACCTGTGTAATTGCTTGTAATTCCAGAGTATCAATTTGTTAATGATTACATATTTCGTTACACATAACTTTTTACAATAACATTATTAATTATTATTTTATTTATTATACATAGTTACTCTCCTTAAGAAATATGTATTTGCAATCGGAACCCCATTTTTATTATGAAGAACATATTTCTTTTATCGGAGTATATATGTGTTTCGTAAAATACAATTTCATTTTTATATTAATAAATATTGTTTCATTTCTTATTCATTGCTACTTTTTATTAAGACCTACTTATTAAAAATGTAATCTCATTTCTAATGTGAAAAAAATATTTCTTTCATCGGAGTATATATTTGAGATCCGTAAAATATAATTTACTAATGGAATAAATAAATGTTTTATTTTTTGTTCATAACTACTTTTTCTAAGAAAATATTTATTTACAATTGAATTTTTATTTTATATATAAAGAACATTTCTTTCATTTAAGTATTTCATAATATACTGTTTATTAATCAAATTAATAAATATTATATTCTTTAGTTTTTAGATTTATTCTTTTGATCTAAATATTTTTTTGCGATTACAATCTCATTCTTAATATAAAGAACATTTTTCTTTCATCAGAGTATACGTATGTATTAACAAATAACAAATAACAATTTCCTTTACTTTTTAAAATAAATGTTTCAAGTAAGAAATTATATAATTCGAATCTAAGTAAATAAGCTATTAGGACCCGCCGAATAAATAATTTCCTTGTGCCAAGTTAAATTTTTTTGGATCAAGATATTTTTTCTCTCAGTGTATGCTTGTGGTGCGCACGATTATTCGATTGCCATGAGCGTAAAAATTTTGGTTCCTACTGGGATCGAACCCGGGACCTCTGGCATGATAGACCAGTGCGCTATCTGCCATGCCACGCTCGCGGTCATCTTTATCTTAATACTTTTATAGTAAATGCAGAATAGTTAGAGAAATAATACTATGTAAAAAATTCACATAATTCCATTTAAAAAAGCGAAGTTGATCTTGAAATTTTTTTAACGCTTCCACTTATGAAAAAATTTATGCATTATACCCCCTCTCGAAGTCATGCAACTTTTGTATATAACAATTTTTCATGCAACTTATAATTTACCATGTCTTTCGAGGTATGCAAGTTATATGCCTCATTCTGTATATCGGAACATAGCTTTAATTACATTTTGACGAACAATCGTTACGATATATTGTTCCACAAGTGATTATTGCACTAATTAATTTGATATTTCATGCAATCGATAGATGCAATGTTGCTGTGCTATCTAGTTACTTGTATGTCTCTTTCGACGAAAGATTGTTTTGACATGATTAATCTTGTGTGTGGAGCCTAGTTATAATTGTGATTACTTCTCAACATGGAGCGGTGCGGTGCAGAAATCAATAACAAAGACACGCTCAAGGAATTGCTCAAGACGCACATGTCGAATCCTTGAAAACATCATGCACGTCAAGTCGAGTTGGAACCTTGTCGGGTCGCAGATATCTTGTGAAAATTAGTTTGGAAGAAATATCCTTTTTGTCGCTGTATATTCGTTTTCAAAGACTCGAAGTATCTTGACGATACTAAAGCACCAACTAATTTAACAGGACAAATTAAGACGCTAGGAACTTTTGCAAAGGCGAATAAAGTCTTTAATAACGTAGGATTCTCCGGTTTCTCGGCAGATTGTACAGAGAAATTTATCTTCCTGAATTTTTATCACACTTTCTTCTACGGAAACGCAACCGAGAGATGCTCGCGACGCTGATAATCTCTAGCGCATTCGCCAAAAATTCGATTCTGGTCTTCCTTCGTGAATCTATTTGGCTCGATGTTTCGGATATAATCTTAATAATTGCTGCAGCAATCGTCACGAAAATTAATAAGAATTAAAGCTCGGGTATCCGAATCTCACAGTCTCTTAATTATTCGCATTCGATGAAAGAGAATCACTCACTCGCATTTACAACTCGTATATACCATCCGGCTCAACAGAATATAATAAGAGAGAGAGAGAGAGAGCATTGAGAAATATATTTAGAGATTTTGCTGTTAACTTTACAATTCCACGCCGCGTACATGGCTTACGTTCGACTGTACGCCGGAGCTCGCTACACTGAACAAAGGGAATATTAATAAAAACATCGAAAAAAAGCGCAACATCACACCAAGGACAGGAGTTCCAGCTTTTTCTTTCCCTTTTTATTGTGTATTTCGCGTTCCTGCTTTTTATTCGCAACGCAATAATGCTTGACGGTATTTTTATTAGAAACTATGGAATCTCTTGGGGAGTGCCGATTATCTTGGATTTTTTGCAAGGTAAAAAGAGAAAAAGAAAAAAAAGAGGAAGACGGAGAGGGACGCGAAAACATTTTGTGAGAGAGCGGAAAAGGAGTACAGATCAACGGGATTCGTCACACGCGTAACGAAGTTCTCGCTATGCAGCACGCAGTTTGTAATATGAATTCAATTGTACTTACATTGATTCCCTTCCTGCGCACCGAATGCAACCAACATTTTTGCCAATGGTCTATTGTTGCTAAGAACAGCAACATCCAGCGGAGACAAGCCGTCGCTGTTAACGCTGTAAATGACATGAGATTCCAAATAACATGAGACAATAGGTAAAGTTTATTTTTAAATCCTTTCTTCAAATAAAAAAGGGAATAAAGTGGAAACGTAGCAAGATAGTAGGGTATATAGCTTAGAGCATATATAGCTTAGAGCATATAGACATGAAGTGAGCATCGTGGTTCAAAATTGTGTCCAAGATGCGTATGAGAGAAAAAGATATATATGAAGAAAGTGAAAAAAATGTGTACGCGTAAGAAAGACAGATACATACATGGAACATTCGTTCTCTCTGCGCATGCTTTAAAATACCGATAGTAACTATACCGGAACGTAACATACTAACATACCAATACTATAGTGTCTGCAACGTTGGTATATGCGCATAGAGGACAAAAGTTCCATGTAATCTTTCTCTCTCACACGCATTTTAGACACACGTTTGGACCACAGAAGATATAAGCAATGCACACTCCATGTATACAGGATGTCCCATTTGAATGTCCCACCTCAAATAACTTTTTTATTTTTAATCTTAGAAAAAAAATGTTTCAGACAAAAGTTGTATGGCTTTGAGGGGGACATAAGATGGTGTCATTAGTTTGACCTTGAATAGTTGCTTGAAGGTCAGGTGAAGGTCACCTTCAATTTCTTAAATGAAAAAACCCTTATTTTTCATTTCATATTCTTATCTCTAGAGTTTTCCAAAACACTGTAATAAAATATTTTTTCATCAAGTACTTTTTTAGATATGATGCTCGAAGGTTACAGTACCTCCGGCATTTAGTATCATCCAAGGTGTCCGACCGACAGTTAAAACCTCTTAAATGTTGTTTAAGATCATGAACTAGATAAGTTTCATTCTTACACTAAAAATTCATTTTAAAGTAAAAATGAAAATAAGAGGAACAACCTCCAATAGCCTTGATCTTAACAAATATTATCTAGTTCATCTTAAACAACATTTAAGAGGTTTTAGCTGTCGGTCGGACACTTTGGATAATACTAAATGCCGGAAGTACTGTAACCTTCGAGCATCATAACTAAAAAAGTACTTGATGACAAAATATTTTATTATAGTGTTTTGGAAAACTTTCGAGGTAAGCTACAAGAATATCCAATGAAAAATAGGGGTTTCTACTTACAAAATTGAAGGTGACCTTCAAGCAATTATTCAAGGTCAAACTAATGACACCTTATGTCCCCCTTAAAGCCATACGACTTTTGTCTGAAACATTTTTTTCTAAAATCAAAAATAACAAAATTATTTGGAATGGGACATTAAAATGGGACACCCTGTATATGCTCTAACATGTTTTCATTTTTTCATTGTATAAAAATTAAAGACAGTACCATTTGGATTAAGTAAATAATAAAGATAGTATCACTTAGGTTTTACTTTTTATTTTGTAGTAGAATTTAACTTGGCGCCACAGTTGTTGACATCAAATCGTTTGTACAAATAATACATATTAGATTAATATTTATTATTTAATTTGGCTATCAAATCTTTTTTACGAATAACACATAAAATTTTGATAAATTAAATTAAATTAACAGAATTTAATTTGGCGCCACAATTGTTGATATCAAATCTTTTAAACAGATGATACATATATTATTAGATTTAATAAAAACATTAACAGAATTTAACTTGGCGCCACAATTGTTGATATCAAACATGCACGCTTAGCGCTTTTTTTACCTTTTTTTTAAAAAGGTAAGTTTGTATATAATTAAAGTCAGAATTACATGGAATTTAACTTGGCGCCAATTGTTGATATCAAATCTTTTATACGAATGATACATATCATTAGAGTTATTAAGTAAATAACAAGAAACAG